AGGGGTAGGGGTTAGGCAATTAACACATTTGGTTTCTCTGATGTGTATTTGACAAAAAATTTTGTCTAAGAGATAGGTAGTCAAAATTACTAGGTAGTTTTAAAAATATGTGTTTTGATGCTGTGATATTGTTGATTGTTTTGTCCCTGTATCACATTATCTGGGGGCACGGTAGTGCCCCCCGCCAAGTTCGCGCACTACTGTATACCTTTTCTCGAAACATTTCAGGTCATTTTCGACCTCCTTCAACTCAGCTCTGAAGTGTCCTAAAAAACTGAAATTTTGCACAGTCGTAGATCTTTATAGACCTAATACTAAAACCAAATTTCATCGATTTCCATCAACCAACAAAAAAGTTACATGGCCTTAAAAAACGCCAATTTGTGTCGCAAACATCGTTGGACTCTTGAGAAGTGTATGAACAAGAATCTGGAACAAGCCAAGCGAACTGGAACAAGTTGGGCAAGTGTTTGGAAGTCCAGAGAGGTCAGAAAAGGAATGGATAATATCTGGAGCAGTCTGTACAAGTCTGGACAAGTCTGGATAAATCTGGATAAAGTCTGGAAAAGTCAGGATGATGTCTGGGAAAGTCTGGAAATCTCTGGAAACGTCTGGAAAGGGCCTGGAAATGTCTGAAAAGGGTCGGAAAAATTCTGGAAAGGGCCCCAAAAGACCTGGGGATCATTTTCCAGCATCCGGATCAGTCTGTACAAGTCTGGATGAAGTCCGAAAAACTCTGGATAATGTCTGGAAAACTCTGGATATTGTCTGGAAAAGTCTGGAAACGTCTGTACAAGGCCTGGAAATTTCTGGATGGGGTCGGAAAATCTGGAAAGGGTCCTTTGGATTTTCCAGAATCCGTGAAAAATCTGGAAAAACCTGGAAAGGTCAAGAGAGAGCTCAGAAGCACTAAAACAATATTCTCCAGAATCTGGATATTTTCTGAAAAATCTGGAAAACACAGAAAACGGTCAGGAAAAGGTCAAGAACGGTCCGGGTAGGTCTGGATATCTTCTGGAGAGCGATCTAAATACGAGTAGACTCAGCTACCGGGTAAAATGGCGCATGCCAAGGAACTTATAGCAATCTTGAGGAAAACATGCGGAAGAGGAAGCTTGACGAAAGCCGAGAGGAAGAGCTGCAGCAGAGGAAAAGGAGAGAAAAGGGAAATTTCCCCAAACGCTTCATGTTGAAGAGATCGCCTGAGGTTCAAAAACTTGTGGAAAGAGTCGAGGCTGAAGCAATAAAGTAGGGTGGCCGAGGCTATGCAGGATCAGACCTTAAAAAAGAAGAAAGCAACAAGCCGACAACATACCTAACAAAATTCTAGGGTTCTTCCAAATATGCTAGAAGGCTGAAATTTGGCATACTGATATGAATTATGGTAAAACCCATGGAAAAAAAAAAAACAAAAACCCTGAAAATTTGACCATTCTTCACAGCTATCGTTAAACACAATAGTCTGGGGAACAGACAGACGGAGCTTCACCGTAATTCGTGATAAGGGCTAGTCTTTATATGTTGGTATTTTAAACGAAATTAGAGCTAATCCAAACTAACCTGTCCTCGTAATAATCCTCAAAAAAAATTAAAAATCCTAAAAAAAAAGCAAAACTTAAAAAAAAATTAATGCCAAACAGAGCTAATCCAAACTAACCCGTCCTCTTAATATTCTTTAGAAGAAAAATAAAAATCCTAAGAAAAAACAAAATTTGAAAAAAAAGGATTGCTTTCAACGAGAATCGAACCTGGGACCATTTGCTCCAAAAACAGTGCGTATGTGCAAGCTATGTGTGCGTATTTTAGCCGATCCTAAATGAACCTATTAAGATCGGTGCAACATTTTAGTGAATTTAGCCACACGCGGAATATCGTTCTGCGTCCTTCGTAGCTCCGTATGCCTGCTCCCCAGACTCTTCTGTTAAATACACAGTATTTGTAAGTAGCATTCAATGCTCGAAGCTCTTCCTAGTCCATATGTTGAACTCATCGCTTGAGATAACTTGAACTTTCCAAAATTTCTTCTAAAAAGAGCCCGTCAAGCGCTTAAAAACACATAAAGAGGACGACTCAATGACAGCGGGATTAGAAAAAAGTATTGTACTCAAAGAAGGAGTTAGAATTATGTTAAAGCCAAATATAGACGATGGTAAATGGTTCTCTGGTCAAAGCTTTTAAAACAAAGTTTAACAATGGACTTCGTTATGAAATTTCTCCAAATTTGAGATTATGAGTCGTACATGCGTCCATAGAGAACAATTTCCAATTTGTATATTGCATATGCTATCACCAAGTTTTCATGCGGCCCAGGCATGTGGCGATTTCCCGAGTTTCAAGTTTAGAAGGAGTTCATCTAATAAACTTAGATACTTATAACATTAAAGCGCAAGTGTCTGCAATTGCTGAATACAACCGATTAAAGTCATTATATCGTCCTGAACTTCCGCGAATTGAAGCTCAAAAAGGACCGAATAGGAAGCATAGGAACAATGATCGAGAGTGGGCTTCACAAAAGCAAGTTTTAGAAGTTCAAGAAGGCGATGGGAAACCAGTAGCAAAAAGAAAAAGACCTAATGCGCCAAAAAGAAAAGTTGAATTATGACATTAATCCTATTAAAATCCTTAAAAAAATTAGTGAAATCATAACAAAAACATTCCATGTAAAAAATGGCCAAGTCCGCGAAAATACCTATCCCCAAAAAGAAGTGAAATCAAAGTCAAGCCAAGTTCTTCAATACGCATTCGAAAATAAAATGGTGGCTTTATTTATTCTAAAATGTTTCAAACTTGGCGAGTACCTACAGTCAAAAAGTTTCTTTCTTCTAAATTCATTAACTTTCTTATGTATTTACATAATATAAAGTTAAATAAAATTTTCCAAAGTAATGATCCTCTTTAAATTATTTAATTATTATAAATCTTAAAAGTGGCTGCATATATCCACAATTTATTTAGTGGCAACTATAAGCAAATCAACTATTATCTTAGACACAGAGTATCTACATATATCATGACGAAAACATCTCATGTAAAAGAATGGCCAAGTACGCGAAAATGGCAATACAGCTAAATTTAAATCCAATTTAGAACAATAACTCTTTCAATAGGTATTTTGACTGTAGGTACGTACTCGCCAAGTTTGAAACATTTTAGAATAAATAAAGCCACCATTTTATTTTCGAATTCGTATTGAAGAACTTGGCTTGACTTTGATTTCACTTCTTTTTGGGGATAAGTGTTTTCGCGGACTTGGCCATTTTTTACATGGAATGTTTTTGTTATGATAATTATAATCTGAATTAACAATGCTATTCGAAATCAAGTAAATCAATTATTTGAATATATTTTAGAGCATATTCATTCACCAAATTAGAGGTGTGAAGCCTATTGAAAAGTAAGTCTCATATTATTTTAGTCCAGTAGTTTAAAGGTAAAGTACCTGCCAATCTAGTCAAAACTTTGAAACATAATAGACTTTGATAATAGAGGCTACAAAACGTTCGACATCCGCCCTTATTTCAAGATTGAGGCAGCATTCTAGTGAATCCAAATCACATTGCTAGCTTATTTATTATACTAACCTACCTAATAGCAAAGTCTGTTTGTATGTGCCTTTCTAAAGTACCTACCTATGCCTGTTATCTCAAAAACTCTTGAAATCACTTTTTAAAAAAACACTAATTTATTTTAAAATACAGGTTACAATAAAAATGGACATTAACTCAACTATACTTAATAATGACGCTTAAAACTAAAGAGACAGGATTTTTATATTTTAAAACATGTTGATCTTGCTGTTTCTATGGGATCGTTGCGACGATGGAGCGGTTCTTGGCATGACATGTTCAGACAGGATAACTTGCTGAAGTAGCGTCTAGACTTTGCGATACTTTGTACCACCGTGATGATAAGACGCATCTTGAGGTCAATGTAGTCGTGAAATCCATATAACATGCCTACTCTCTGATTTGACAAAGCCAACTTTAGCATATTTTGTGAAAGTGCTGCAGGCCGGTCCTGTTTTTAATAGTTTTTATTGTTTTTCTTCGTGTCTTCAGGCTACCTCCTTCTGTTTTACTTTTGATTTCCGATTTTGTTGTTGTTGTAAAAGTGCTGCAAACCGGGCCTGTTCTTCTTGACTTCGGGCTTCTTCTAATTGCTTCTCTTTCTGTCTTTGGGCCTCCTGTTCTTGTCTTTATCTCTGTTCTCAATTTTCATCTTCCTATTTTTCATGTTTTCTCTTCTTGCCTCTCATCTTCCTTATTTTTCCTGTCCAGCAACATTTGATAGATTTGCGCCATTTCGACAGTTTGCTGTCGTGTATTTGCCAAAATATTATTTTTGAGACTCAGTTTCGAATATATTTAAAGTCGAAATTTTCTTGCAATTTCTATTCGTCTAATAGAACACGATGAAATGTTCTAGAGAAATCACTCTCGTCTTCCAAATGCCGCCGAATATACAGTATGAACGTAAATAAATGTCTTTATAAACTATTAAATAGCAAATCAAACAAAAATATAACTAAAACACCGAAAAAATATCAAAAGGTGCATGACACTCCAACTCCATATAAACAAATGGTATAAGGTTGGGTTGTCTTACCGCCAGTGTCAATTTATTGACGTCAGGTGCATGAAACCAATAGAACACTATGGAAGGTTCTATAACTTGCCATTTCAATAAATATCGTGAATGCGGGATGTTCATTTTAATTGTAATGAAAAATAGTCCTATCAAAAGAGCTCAGTCAGCTTTGTGCCATCAAAATTCGTCACGTACTTCCACCACAATCTGGCAACGCTTTAAACCTTAGCAGAATTGATTTATTATTCTCAATATTATTGTAGAAGGAATAATACTTTCCACGTAATAAAGGGCATTTGGAACCTGACGATATTTATTATTCAAAAATTGCTTATCGATACATACAATACAAACAATCTTTTCATAACTAATTATCGGAATGATGATAAAATAAAAACAAAATCAAATGGCACCTATTCTAGGGAAGGCTCACTTGCCTCTGGCCCATACCGATCTCGCATTTTGTACTGAAAAGGCGGTGCTCCGCCTTCAACTACCCAAATAGTGCCTGTAGGTGCCCTCTCGATAATTTCCATTACTAAAGGACCTACTTCTTCTGGACTAAAATTTAAAATACTTATATTAATTCTGCTAAATAGTTGAATTATTAAAAATACATAAATGGATAATTTGGCATGAACTGGATGGCATTTAATTAAAGAAACTTCATAAGAAGAAAATTTGCAAATGACAATAAATAGCTTACCAATGATGACTGGTCATAGAGCTGGGCAACTTGTAGATAAAAGAGATGGGCAGTAACTAACGGCCAATCAGAGATTGCTATGGTTTTTTTAACGTATGTCTAAGCAATATTTTTCTTTAATTTTGTCAATAAACTTTAATGTCAAAATGTCATGTATCCTGACCAATGAAGAAACAAGAATGCGAAGTACGTTTCCGTAATCGAAGCAATATTTGATTGTTTTTTTTTTTCAACAGCCGATACCTTCAATGTATAAAGTGTGTTGTTTTTTGATGGAAAATAACTTCAGCTCATAAATTGCGGAAATAGGAGTATTAACAGTAATGAATTACTCCGCGTATAGTTGCCAGAGCGATTTGGCTTTGGATGAAGTAAGGATAATGTTAATCTTTAATCACAAAAAAAAAAATCTCAAATAGCCTGCTCAGCTGTATCTTTTCCCAGGGTGTGCGCAGTCTTAGAGGCTGAGAAAACGTCAAAAACAACATTTTTTGTCATCTGCGCATGCAAATTTTAAGGCCTTATTCAATTCGTTTTTTTTTTCTTCTAGAGTATGAATAGCGTGAATGATGGATAAATAGGTGGCAATATAAATTACCACCACCTAACATGAATCATACCATACTTCATACTGGTTGGTAGACCAATTTGACCAAGTAATTCATGTCACATAGGTACTAGCAATAAATCTTAAAACTTACGATTGTTGCTTTTCACCAACGAATTCAATTTGCTTAAGGTCTTCATAATCCGGTCCCAAAGTTCTGTTGGGCAATTCTATAATCAATGGTGTCCTAGTGATACCTGGACAAACTCCTACTACCCTCACTTTAGTTCTCTCGTAATGTGCAGGAACTCCCCATGCCAGTGTCATACCGTGGACTGCAAATTTCGTGCCTACGTAAATAGGCATAAATCCAACAGGCATTATACCGAGAACTGAGGCGATGTTTATTATTAAACCCTCCGGTCCGGACTTATATTTAGTTATGTATTTCTCTAAGCCGAGTAGAATTCCATGAACAGTGCCATTCTGAAAATATAACATAAAGTTTTCGTATAATGAGTGAAGTTTGGAATTATGTTATGTTATGTTGAGGACATGTAATGTAAAATAAGCTGCATCTTAGCTTTCCAATTTTAACTTTGTACCAATTTGCAAATAGGGGATTATTTGAAGGATTTAACGCTAGAAAAACCTGTCATGTAAGCCAGAAACAAATGCAAAAATCTTGAAACTAATTATTTTCATAAACATTGCATGGCATGGGAGCAACTGTTACCTTTCCCAAAATTTTTCAATGGATGGAGGGTTGAGTGATACCTCCTTATTTGTAATAATTAGGTTCTATTAGTGTGACTGGGGACAGTAAAAAAAAATTAATTTCTAACAGGTCGTTGTATCCGCTGGAATAATCACAGTAGCCTTGAACGTTGGAGTAGCAATTTTTGTGGAAAGACATTCAGGATAAGTTACCACTCGATCCTCCTCACATCTTAAAATTTTTGGTGTATTTTCTAATTATCAACCCTGAATGAAAATATACTATAAGTTTTTCCAATAAATCACTAAACTTACTATATTAATGTCGATTTCTTTCCTCCACACTGTATCATTCATTATACCAGCATTATTTATTAAAATATCCACCTGATTGAATGCAGTTATTGTTTCCTTGAATGCACCTGAAATAAATTTCATAATCTTCCCATTCTGACTAACTTAATTTTGTTATTATTGATAGAACTCACGTTCAAATTGTTCGTAATTAGTCACATCAGCTTTGACGAATATAGCCTTGTTGTTACCAAATTTATTATTTAACTCATCAATTGATTTGATTCCTTTTTCTTCACATACATCTGCCAAAGTGACTCCCTAGAATTTTTGCCATATTTTCAATACAAATGAAACCAGGCAGGGTTAGGTAATCAGAAATAATTTATTCAAATAAAATATTTTACCTTTGACCCTTTCTCCAATAAATTACGGGCATACTGAAATCCTAAACCAGAAGCACCTCCAGTAATGATGGCAACTTTTCCACTTATATTAAAAAACGTCATTGTCGACGAAATTTCTTTAGCTGAGAAAACTAGAACTTGAGGTAGCATTTATACTACTAAATAAAATAAAAAGATAGGATAAAAAGTGCAAAGTAGGTAGTCAATATACAGGGTGTCCATTTGTGTATAACTTTCAGGATAGATTTTTTTTTAAAAAAATGGATATTTTTTTGAAATGTTGCTACAATACAAGAAGGTACAGAAGTGATTATCTCTTTGGATCAAATGCTTTGTGGAGAATGTTTTCCGCTGCCTCAAAGTCACTCTCTTGGACTTCACTTGGGTAGATTTCCTTTTTTTCGGAGCTCCTAATAATATTTATTGGTTCAAATGCCTTAATCAGGGCATTTTTGATAATAGGAGCCATGTCATATTCTGTAATTTACCAGGATCCAGTTTTTTTGCAGGTAGTTTTTGAAGGCTTACATCAAGAGGCTGTAGCGAGGGTCGACACTCTGAGAATCTCTAGTTCTGTATCTGAAGCTGTATAAGTTTGGGAGGGTTTATGCCACATCAATTACGCTACAGTAGGCCCATTGTGCGCCTGCACAAGAGGAGAGATCATCCTTAGCTCATCATTCATACCCTAGCGATTTAACGTAGTACTGACAGTTCTGACATAAGTCGTGGTCTAGATAGAGCTAGTACTGCTTGTCTGCAGTCTGTGTGGATGTGCACGATCTTGTAAGTGATATTGTTACTGACTTTCTGTTCTGCATCGATGGTTGTGTCAGTAATTTCCGTTTGGAAGATATTTGGCATGGAGCCGAGGGCTTTAATTAGGTTCAGTTTGAGGACTTTGGAGTATAATCCCATCCCGAGCCTGTTTTGGATCCGTCCGTGTAGATCTCTAGTTATTTTTGTAGACTGTATAGATTCAAATAGCAATAAAAGGAAGTCTCTAATCGTCTAAGCTCTAATGACTGGAGAGATCTGATGGAGTCTCAACTTTCACCAGCAACACCCGTGGCTGAATAAACTCCAATCAGCAGATAAAATGTGAAATACTTGTTTGTCTGAAAAGGAAAGTTGAGTTTTTGAGAGGCAGATTTTGATAGAGATATTTGCTGCTCTAAGGACGGACAAACAAAACAGGGAGTCAAATGAAAACGGTTTCAGTTCAAGTTCCATACTCCTCTTTTATAAAAGCTGAAGGAACTGAGGAACCGCGGATTTGTAATACAAAGTTAAGGTAAAGTGATAGCTCTTTAAAAAATGCAACAGGCAAACCAGTCTCTTAAATCAGAATAGAGAACCTATCAGGTGAGCTCTCAGGAGTCCTTAGTGTGAGCAATTCAACACTATATTTTTTTCCAAATATTTTGCTTTATTAAAATATATGAACATCCTAATTAGACTTTGTTTTAACAATTAATTCATAAAAGATTAGGTATATTATGCCAGGACGTTTTGAAATAATATGTTGATTAAAAAAAAAGTTTTTTCAAATATCGACTATTTGATGACCTGAATTTTTTCTAATTTACCATTAAAAAAGTTCACATAATTTGGGTAACCTACTTGGTAAAATATATAGAAATTATTTAGCCGGAATAAAAAAAGGTCTTATCATTAAAACAATAGATAGTAGCAAATTTTGAAACAATGAATTTAAAGTTTTTCGACATTTTGAGTATTCAATAAAAAATTAAATGAAATTCTGGAGCATGATGTCAAGGAATCCACTCTCTTATTTTTTACTTATTGGGCATTCAATAGGCAGGTTGGTTAACATTCCAGCAGAGATCCAGATAATTTGGCAGTTCCAACGAATTCCGATAAATTTTGACATAAATTCATGGTCTTTTGAGATGGCGGCTTCCTCTTCAACAGGCTATCACAAAAGCTGAGACATCAACTGTGAAGTCTGTTTAGACATTTGAGAAATGACACAATCATTTTCGTCAATCCCATCGAGTCTCACGTCTTTACTCAATGACTTCACAAAGCTAAACCAACCAGCTAACTGGAACTGAAACTGAAGTAACCACATAGGAAGACCCTTAATGATTGCAAAAATATATGATTTTGTCCATCCACTGGATCTGTTCTTGAATGCGATAGAAGATTCAACTAATAGTCCAAGAAGGTGGAAATCAATGTTAAAAATATAGTCTGGTGGCGCTAAAAATTTGATTATTTTCCCGATGATAGTGACTGAAATAAAAGTCAAAATCTTCGTCTTATCTCCTTTTATTCTATTTCAATTTCATTATACATAAATACATTGTTTCTTAGCCTTAGATTTGTCTAAATTATTTTATTTTTTTCAGGTATGTTGGTATATGCTACTCGGAGGGCATAAGAGAACTTTGCCGGCCCAAAAAGTGCGCATCAGCGCATTGGAATTTGAGGTTAGGCGAACACAATCAATAACATAAATTAGTAAGAAAACAGAAACTATGAAAAGAAAAATGAGGGATACAATGTAAGCAATAATAATAATAGTTTTATTCTAAATAAACCTTTTCCATATTGAAACGATCTTTCATCTCATACTGATAGGCTGGCTCTGCTCCTTCTGCTACCCACACAGTACCAGGGGGTGCCTTCTCAATTATTTTTATAACGTTTGGCACCAATTCTTCTGGTCTAAAAAAAAATGGAAATGATGTAATTCAACACTGGACGAAAAGTAACTAAAACGAATATTTTTTCCACCTACTTTTGTTTGGGTAAAGCATCCAACTCCCTCGCTTCGTTGACTTTATACTCAGAGCTCAAACATCTATTCAAAGTACCCGAAGTCATGGAAGTTATTGTGAATCCAGGACACACGCCTACAACTCTAACCCTGGTTCTGTTATAATGAGCTGGAAGTCCCCAGCTTAACGTCATTGCGTGGATTGCAAACTTGGTAGCAGTATAGATGGGACGAGTGGCAAAAGGCTGGATACCTGATATTGACGATACATTTAATATAAGTCCCTCTGAGCGGGATTTGTATTTTGGAATATAGTGATCCATGCCCAATAGGATACCGTGGATAGTTCCGTTCTAAATTTGAAAATTACAATATTTATTTAGGCTCGCCATTATACTTACAATATTTACGGTCAATTCTCTTTGCCAAATTGCATCATTAGCAATTCCAGCATTGTTTATTAAGATATCAATGTTCTTGAAGGTTTCTACTGTTTTTTTAAATGCATCTATAAAATAATTACATTATAATAATGTCTGACTGACTTATTATTATATTTGTAATCGTACCTTCAAGTTTTTGGTAGTTAGTTACATCAGCCTCTACGAATATTGCTTTGTTTTTTCCGAACTTGCGTTCAATCTCATCAATGGCTTTGCTTCCTGCATCATCAGGGAGAATGTCTACCAACGTGACACCCTTCGGCAAAAATAATTTAGATAATTTTTTAATTAAATTCTTGGTTCTTACCCTGGCTCCTTTTTCCAATAACGCGAGGGAATATTGAAACCCCAAACCAGATGCACCTCCTGTAACAAGAGCTACGGTGTCGTGTATATCAAACCCTTCCATTTTTCAATCAACGTTGGTAATGGATAAAACTTCGCCGGCGTATCTATTTAACATTTCCCTGTTATCGATAGGTTAGCGAAATTAGGTTTAATGGAAAAAATCGAGGTGAATTTGTTGGCGCAACATAAACAAAAAATCTATAAAGTAGTACATCAATTGCCCGTCAAAACTGTCGTTTTTTTAAATAAATTGGTTTAAGGCGAAGTGGGTTAATTATTGTGATATAGTTTTTTAATAGGTTGAATTTATAGCGCTGCCAAATGAAAAGTATAACCAATAAAATTTTGAAATAAATTACAATACATTTCTAACATGCTTATTATCTGGTAATGTATTTTCAGGATAGATATCATAATACCTACTTTTTTTGTAGGATGTATTTTTTTAAAACAAGCCCATTATATCACATTTAACCCAGAGTTCGGGGCAAATGTGATAATGGGCTGTATGTTTGAATTCAATGTATGTGTATTAGTTATTGCGGCAAATGTATAAAATATAGAAAATTTCACGCGTTTCGATTTTTTATTGATCAAAATATCTCATATATTACAAAAGTTATAAACTTTTTAAACTTAGAAGAAAAAGAAGCAGCTTGTGTAAGTGTAAGAGTACCTGTCAAAAGGTACAAAACTATAAATTATAGCCCCCAAAGCGAACTGGGAAGTCAAGCTTCGGGACATATTCTAGTTTTTCCTGTGTCGGTGACTTTGGACTCTTTGGAGTTTGTTTGACTGCAGATAACAAAAGATCTTCAAATGACACGCTGCTGGCAGATACTTGATGGTCCTGGTAACTTCTTGTCGTGTTCTGCTCCACGTATACCTTTGATTCGGTAATGTGATGTACATAACGTAAGGAATTCCATTTATTTTAGAAGTTCTGTGAATTGTTGTTCTTTTGGCTTCATCAATAGCCAATACTAGATCGTTCTTTGTATATTTTTTATTATCGGCGGTCTTTCTTTTGTAGTTGCGCACCATAACAATAAAGGGGCAAATGTGATATACTATAACACTATTTCTCCGCCACTGTACAACACATTTACCACAAATGCAAAACTTCTGGGGCAAACGTGAGAGTGAGATAGTATCAAAAGTTGAAAAAACCTTGAAATGTTGGTAAAATAAACACACTAGTTGAAAACAAGCGTCGATTAACCCCACTTCAAGTAATAATATCTTACTTACCACTTTGAATGAAAAGTTCACACACATAAATAGAAAAACCACGCTACTCGCACGATTGATATAAATACGCGCACCTAATGAAAGCTATTCGACTCACGAAACATGCGCCGCACGTAAAATTTCACGTGGTGGGAGTGTGAACAGTTATGGTGACAAGACATTGACATGGATGGCATTGGTTGATTGTTATTTTCAAAATTTTTGGCGGGACAAATAACACAATTGCCCCTTTAACACATTTACCTCACTTCACCTTATATTGTTTGGTATATTTTTCGTGGAACGAGTTTTTGTTCTTGCCTTTCAGGAAACTTGCACTTCAAATCAAATTGGAAATGTTTTGTGATAGATTCGATGATAGAATGTTGATCAAACCAAGAAAAAAATCATGCTAATATGCACGAGTTTCAATGAAGATCAATCTGCCAAATGCATTAATTATAAGATCTGAAGTCACAATCTGCTCAGTTGAAAATTTTAAGAAATAAATACCTGAACTTTTAGCTTTCAAGTGCATTAGAGAGAGAGAGCTATGTGGAAAATTAAATAGTTACAAATTTTGAGGATATGTATATAAACCAGTAAAATCTCAAAGATTTTTATTTGGTAATATAGAAATGGCAGACATAAAATAAGGTCCACACAAACCCATTCGCTACTCACATGATAGGAACTATGTTACTGCAAAATAACTTTACCTACTAGTACTATTTCAGTACCTATATAGGAATAAGGAATAGGAATAAAAATTACGGTTACACAAACTTTGGTTACACATAGCAAAGTAGGGTAATAATATTAAAAAACGTATCCCTCCAATGTTTCCCTTGTTATTGCAAATCGAAATGATGTTGCGAGAAACCTTTAATTAAATAAATTAAATTGAATTTTGTTTGCTAGCTTTTATCAAAATTATAGACAACATGATAATTGTTGAGCTATCTGGTAACATAAATAAATGCATTTTTTAGAATAATTGATTGATGTAAACAGTGTCAGGAATCTGCAAAATTATTTATTTAGTATACTTATTTAGAATGATTCAATTATTTATCAGAAAATATATCAATATTTGTAGTAGTGACTGAGAACCTAAAACTAGGTTATGCATCAGTCTAGGAAACAATGCAACCATTTTTCAAGCGGAAGTGCATGCCATTAAAATGGTTGTGAGGAGGCTGCAGGATCGACTTCAAACTCACAAAACCATAAAAATATGTTCTGACAGCTAAGCTGCTCTGAAGGCGCTTAGCTCCACCTACTGTTATTCAAGAACAGAACAAGTGAGAGGAGACAACCGTAAGAAGAAATTATATTGAAGAAGGAGCAGTGGAGGATATTTGTCACACATCTTCATCGTCGGCCACTACCAATAAACTGTTCTTCGCTTTTCCTGGGTGTTTTCCTCGAACATGCTTATCATTTGTACCATTTTTTTGTTTATCAATCGTTCTTTTGAGTTTGTCAATTTCCAAAGACATTTCCTCCTCCTTTTCCGTGACATCGCTTTTAGAAGCAGATGAGCGCTGATGTAGGAAATCTTTGCATCTACTTCATTTGTTTTTCAACATTTTTCCTATGTAATAAAAATGCTGAAAAGCAAAATCATTCATTCAAAAATTGGTGACTATACTATAAGGAGAAGAACGACCTGAAGATCGAACCAGGAACTCCACATGGAGGAGTGATATCTTCACTCTTGTGTCGGTAGGTAATCAATATGATTTTTAAAACCTTTAGACAAAATAGAATTGATTGCGTATGCTGACGACGTAGTGGTACTGGTGAGGGGCTTCAGCTTATCAACTATCAGTGAAATCATACAATCAACATTTGAGGAACTCTCCAAATGAGTAGGACAAAACGGATTGGGGAGTGAACCCTCTAAAAACCAAGCTAGTCCTGTTCACAAGAAAATGCAAAATCCCTAGTTTTATAATGCCGACGGTTGGGGGCCAAAACTTAGGGATTGTTTTTGACTCCAAACTCTCATGGAGGAGAAACACGAAAGAAAAAATGAAAAAAGACCTGAATGCAATATACACCTGCAGAAAACTGTTCGGCAAAAAATGGAGAATGCAACAGCACATCCTCCATTGGGTGAACACTGCGATAGTGAGGCCCATTATAATATGGAATTGACAGAACGGTGTACTTGAAAATGCTCACCAAAGTACAGAGTATGGCAGCGCTCGGTACAACGGAAGCAAAAAGATGCACACCGCAGGCGGCTTTAGAGGTTATGGTGAATCTGCGGCCAATAGATTAGGGACACTTGACAATATTTGAGGATACATTTAAAATGATGAACCACCAAGAGGCCGAAACATTCCTTAAGGCAACAGACTACATAGTATGGCCAAATATTCTAGGATAAATGTCACTATGCCTTCAAGGGAAGATTGGGATCAAACCCCTATACATAGGGAAAATGAGATGCCGCAAAAACAAAAACCGGTACAGGAGCCGGAGGATACTCAAAAGCACTAAACATTCAAGGGTCATACAAACTCAGGGATGATTGCAGCATCCTTTATGTCGAAATAATCGCAACTGGAAAAGCAGCAAGGCTATTGCTAAGAAAGGACAATGCAATGGGCAATATCACCATAATATATGTGCAGCAAAGCAGCGCCGAGAATGCTAGACAAAACTGGGAATGAAAAAAAGTTGCCTGGAAGACGCGGGAAAGATAGGGACAATGGAAAAACCTCGTAAATACCATACACTGGCACAAAACGGAGAAAGGAGGAACAGGTAAGGGAACCACCCTGAAGAAGGGATGACAATGGGTCAATGGGCCTCCGAGTGTAAGCTCTACAGTTGTAGGTCAAATCCTTTAAAGCCGTACCTAGCCTAACCTTCCTCAGAGAACTTATTGTATCACTGTTTTCTCCACTAGCCTTGCTTGCACAAGCTCCAGAACGTTATGTTAGATTGTTTCACAAAATTGGCTCATTTTGGTCCTCTTCCATAGCAGCTTGGATGAAATACATTGTTGGAAACTAAGCAGTTTAGAATTAGAATAAATATCCAGAGTTTCAAATAATAAAAGAGACTAAATTAGGCTAACAGCTCTTAATTTTCAGTATGAACTTTGCTGTTTTGTGGTTAAAATAGGCTTTTCTATTTCCCAAATTTGATGTAGATGATTTTGAAATAATGCTCGAAGTGTCACTAAACTGTATACACTGTATATTGATTTAAAATACAATTACATGACAACACAGGGGATCGAAGCTGATATATTCAAACAGAATATAACTTTTAACTTTGTATATTATTGGAGCAGTGAGGTGCGTACTATGACGAATAACAATGAAATCTGACAAATTATTTTGCCAAACTTGACAAAACTGACAATTACGTTGCCTCACCTTCCCTACCTGCTGCTCAAGTGGCGATAGCCCATTTTTTGAACAATATTCAAGGAACTGGGTATTTGCCGAAACTCAATTTTACCGGTAAGTAAAAAGAACAAGATATCCCAAAGCATTTCCAATTTCGTCCCTCCAATCGGTTAAATGATTTAACCATCGGGCTTTAAACTGCTAGAGGGATCAACAAGCATATTTGTTTTGTTCCATAATGAGGTAGCGGGGTCAGAGGGGTGATTCATCCGATAAACAAAACGAAAAAAGGCCCTGTTGCCGAATTTTTTCCTGTTCGAATAATAATCTCGATAATAATGAATATCGTCATCTATCGAAAAGTATCCATTTCAAATTTGTCTGCTTATAATAATATTAAAAATATACTTGCGACTTTTTAAGTCTATACTTAAAATAATTCTAAAACAACAATACCTTTTATCACGACTCAATTTGGTTTTAAATGGAACTACGTACCTACTTCTAAAGAAAGATTTTACAGTCTGGCAATAACGTAGTAATTGTTTTGTGTTCTCATGGTGTTCTCAACTTTCTTGTGACAAATCAGCTGACTGCGTTCGAGAACCTGGTGTGTCGTATAAAAATCACACAGCTGCCGTTCGGAAAGGCGAAGTGTGGATTAAAATCATATGGTTTTCGGCGTTCGGAAGGGTGTTTGACACGTATTGATGTGCGCACCGAATACTCTAGAGTGAAATGTAAGCTCACATTTTGAAGATGCACTCCCTGAAATAATTTCCACACCAACAACCAGGTTTTCGAACGCAGCTCTCTGATACCCAAAACATAAACAGACTGGTTGATAAACATTCTATTTTCATAAGTGCGAGAAAGAGGGCCTGGTCTCATTCTGGAACCAAACAAATTCTATAGCACATTATTATCGTTATTAGTCTAGAGAGAGAGAGTGTTCAGTGGTCGAAGGATTTAACCGATTTTTATCAAGATTGTGATTCAGTAACTTGCGCGTAATCTATATGCTGCCAAAATATACAAGTTTCTCTCCATTTCTTTGACCCAATTCAGTTGCATTCCCCTTTTCTCGATCCGATGAATCCGTAATAAGGAAATGCGACGTTTACTGTTCGAAATATGCAGAAGGAATTCGATATAAGAGTTTTTAAAGTTTCGTCAACCTTTTGATTTAGTTTTACTTTGTTTTTCTCTACCGTTAAATTTGATTTTGTTTCCTTTTCGCATCACATATTGCATTCCAACTGCAAAAGATTTTATTGAAATTCAATAATATGTTAACTTCATTTTATTTTATACCAACAATAAGTAAAATTTGTTAAAGTTACTCTGTCTATACCAGAATATAATTACTATTTTTATTACAATAGCCCAGCCATAAATTCTTTATATAGCAAACCCTTTTCAAGTTTACGGTTTAAATATTTTAAATTATTTTGAATAAACAGTTTCTAAATTACATATTTATAGTAAGTTAAATAACTGTATTTTAAACAAATTTAATCGAGATAAATCTTATTTTCAAGCATGTGACGATCAGGCATAACGTACTGGTAAGGTTTCTCGCCTCCCTCAACTATCCACAAGGTACCTGGTGGAGCTTTTTCAATTATCCTCATAACATGTGGAGCAATTTGATCGGTTCTAAAAACAAAACTTACAATAAATTATGGATTTCGAATTAACTCACTTACGTTTGAGGAACAGCTTGCGAAACTTCTACTTCGCGTATTTTCTCGTACTCCGAAGACAAGTTCTTATTTTTCATGTCCGTAATCAATGGTGTCTGAGTTACGCCTGGGCCCACGGCTATCACTCTTACTTTAGTCCTTTCGTAATGAGCCGGAAGACCCCACGCCAAAGTCATACCGTGCACGGCAAATTTCGTTCCCGTGTATACGGGCAAGCACGCAAATGGTACAATACCAGCGATGGAGGATATGTTTAGAATCACTCCTTCATCTCCAGATTTGTGTTTGGGTATGTAGTTTTCTAGACCGAGGAGAATTCCATTGATTACGCCATTCTAAAAAAAAATGTTTAGTTGATAAGGTTTGCCCATAATAAGAGTCGGGCGACAAATTTGACGTAGGGATATTGAAATTTAATTTCATAAACCAAAGCGCTGTCAGAAAAAATGCATGTTTCCTATGTCTGCACATTCAAAATTTGTCTAAAAATAGTAGGTATAAAAACTATAAAGGGATGTGTAAAATTAAAATTGGACACCCAGGTTTTCGAAAAAAATTAAATAAATATAAATACATAAAAACACATTTTTTGTTTTCTAAAGTTCTCGGTCGATCGGATTTTTATCATTGTGGTTCTGACATTCTTCCGTAAGCTAAACCCATTTTTTTCAAAAACTGCTACAGTAATAATCTGCGAGTTATCGTTTATATTTTTTGCAGATGCCTTAACACTGGTAAGGGTTACCAAGATTACTGAAAATAAACTGTGCTATAAATACATTTATGTCATCCAATCCACATAAAATTTGCTTATGGAGTTTATATGTCTTTTCACGCTATTCTGACGTTATTACTTGAGCTAGAATTCTCAAATTTGGAATAGGTAGTGATACTGGCTAGAACCTAACAGAGCCAGCTTTTCAATTTCGATCCAGAAAAAAAATTAAGGCAAAAAATGTGTTCTAGCGCGGATTTTTCGCGCGTTTTATCTCTGATCCCACGTCGAAGTTGAACCCCATCCACGTTCGTCAGGTCTTCGCACAGAGACAGTTAAAAAATCCGAGAAATTGAAATTGACCACTAAAAAAAAGGTGTCCATTTTTTTTCCAGTTGCCTGGTGTGGCAGAAAAAATAATAAAATAATTTTTTTTTAGTAATTTTACATCGTACACATTCTTCTGTTAATATGACAAACAATTTTATTTACATTGCCTGGCAGAGACAAGTCTATCAACTAGTAAATAATATATTTTTGCACAGAGATAAGAGTTTCAACATAAATATTGAAATCTAATTAGCTTAAACAAATATTTACCCTATTAGGTACCTATTATTCACATCAGATACCGAAAACCCGCTGGTACCGGATTTGGATAAAATTGCGAAATGACAAAAATCGTCTTTCAAATTGCAAGTGAGAAGGAACAGCTTTCTTGGAGTTGGTAGGCAAATTATTTCAGTTCAATCTCAATTTAAAAAAAAATTGCAACTTACCACGTTAATATCAACTTCTTTCTGCCAGATTCCGTCATTTAGTATACCTGCATTATTGACCAATATATCGACATTTTGAAAATTAGCCACTGTTTGTTTGAAAGCCTCTGAAAAGCAACACATTTAATGTGCGAATGAAAATTTAAATTGAAAAATGTTACCTTCAAATTGTTCAGAACTCGTCACATCAGTTACTACAAAAACAGCTTTGCCCTTTCCAAATTCACTCTCAATTTCCTCAATGGCTTTTTGCCCTACTTCAGCGTTAACATCTGCTAGAGTCACTCCCTAAAACGTATCCCGAGTTTCTTTTTGTTTGTTTTTTATAAAAATATAGTTACCTTCGCTCCTTTTCGTAACAATTCAAGGGCGTACTTGTATCCCAGCCCAGATGCACCCCCGGTTATAAGTGCAACTTTTCCAGTAATATCGAACGATACCATTTTTGAGGACAGTTATTCAGAAAGCGCTTTCAACGAATTGAATACTCAATTAAAATGAATTTAAGCCTTATTATTTTGGCTTATAAAATGTTGCTTATCGGTATATTTTTTTTTGTTACACAAACAACAGATTAAATTTAAAAATAAATATATTTTGTGCATCGCTTTTGGATTGTATCATACATAGCCTTCACAACCTTGACATAGATCACCTGAATACACATGCGTAAATCCACCTATTTGTTATATCAGCAAACAATTATCTTGAACAACTACACTGTAGTAAAAATACACGTTAACTGCGGTGGCACTGACATTCTCGCCACACTTCTGACCTCACCTGGGTTTTCTTTTGTGCTGGTGTGTGTCTACCGCCCAACAGGATCCTCTATAGAAGATGATACACACTTCTCTCTACCAAACACGATTACTAATCTTGCATCAGAATACAAAAACTTGGTAATTGCGAGTGATTTCAACTTTCCCGAAACCCTATGGCCAATAACAGATTTGGGTGCATTAAGGGATAGAGCTGCCATATTGATTGTGACCAAACCCACTTGGCACCGGGAGGGTCAAAACCCATACATAGTCAATGATAAAAACCTCATAACAAAATATGAACATCTCTCTCCCATAGAAAAATTTGACCATGAGGTACAAAAACTCACACTCCAAGCAACATTGGCTAATGCAGGTGCTTGAACCTTTAAGCAAAAAATCAAATTCATCAACTTTGCAGCAGTTAACGAACACCTTTCTGGGGTCGACTGGAGAGAAGAACTTTTGGGTAATAACATAAACATGGTTTCGGCAACTTTCCACAACACATTGAAAAGAACAGTACAAGCCGACTCAGAATTTATCATGTGATCATCACATTCGAGAATGGACGAGGAAGAAGGCACTTTGGAGAAACTTCATTCAAACAAAAAAATCCCACTGACTATAGAGAACACCACAACTTTTCGAATTCCCTAACACAACAAATAAAGGAGACAAAGCTCGTATATCTCAGCCGTTCCACAAGGTTTTAAAATTCCAAAAAGCTGCACAAATATATACGATCAAATTTAAACACTAAAGTGGGTATATCTACCCTTAAAACTACCAATGGGGATATTTGTAAAGCTAAGACGGAAGAAGCCACAATGCTTGCCAATGAGTTTTTATTTTCATTGGTCTTCTGACTTCCTTTCAATTTCATACTGCCAGGGTGATAAACCCAATCACTACAATCGACTTCACCCATCAAGGCACCTCAAAAAAAAATTGAAAACAGCAAGCTCTCCTGGACTTGATGGTATGTCCACTCTGTGTGCACCCGCTAACAAAAATAATGAACATGCCCTTCCAGTAAACCAGACTATCAACTGATTGGAAGAGGGCGTCAGAGACACAAATCTATAAAAAAGGAGACAATCTAAGCGCAAAGAACTACAGGCCTATTACTCTTGTCCATTATAAGCAAAATGATGGAGTCTGTAAGAGACTTTGCAGTTGTAGAACAGCTGATTCCCGCACAACAAAATGGCTTCATTTTTTGACGCAGTACAACTACATGTCTCCTGGAATATCTCAACGCCTGGACCAGACTTTCAGACCGAAAAATGCCAGTAGATTTCGAACTCGTACTCGTAATGGAATTAGAGCATTTTGGCACGAGGGGCGACTTGCTGGACTGGGTCAGGGATTATGTCTCAGTGAAAAACACAGAAAATAGCTGGAAACTGATCCAGATATGCCTGTTCTGTTCTATCAAAAATCTCATATTATTGCCTTATTTGTAACCAGTATTTTTCGTCAACCTTATTATTTTATAATAAAACTATGAACCAGCTAAAAAAAATGAAGGTAAGTTTTCTTTTTTATCTAGTAAATGTCAAGTTCAAGTTCAAAAGCCCAGTAAAAGCTATTGAGGGTTCATTAAAACTTCAAATTGCTTTTTTACTAAAGCAGAAAAAGCAAGTCAGGCTTGAAAGATTCTGTATTAAATTTATAAGTGCCTAATTTTCTCGGAAGCATACGAAGACACTATATTTTAAATGTTCTTAGAATTTGTTTTACTGAGTATTAAACCAACAAAAAAAAAAAAAAACAGAAATAATCGAATAAAGTGCTTCTACATAAGAATAAATATGCTTCACATTAATCGAACTGTTACAATTATTGTAAACCATTGCGAAACATTATTTAAATCATTTAAACCACCAGGTCTGCAATTGTCAGATTAATTCATTTAACAACACAATTTCCAAGATACCAAACTAGTTAACATATATACTGGCAAAAATAGATGTGGTGTATTTGGTATTGGTAAGCGAGGGTAAGGTAATTGATTTTATGCTTTCTTGCGAAATAATGAGAAGAACGGCATTTATTGAAAAGCTTCTGCTCAAATTTGTGTTGACACAATGCAAAGTTTCGTTTTTCTCGTAAAATACTTGCTCCAATCTGTTTTAAAATCTAACAGATGTTAGAGAAAAAGGACTCCTAAATCGGCTGGTGCTATATATTGATTTATTTTGGGTTTTTTTCGTATTTCATATTTCTCGAAATATAAATCATTATTAAACCTCGGCGTATCCAGCCCATGCGTCTGGGGGGGGGGGGGGGTAATCAGCTCAGGCCAACCCAGGCGCTGCCGAAGACGAAATTTTTTTTACCGGGTGCCACGCCCAAACCACTAATTTGGAGTCTTCAAAACAAATTTTCTGTACTACCAACAAATAACGAAACCGAACTCTGGGATTTCCCGAAAACTTTTAAATTATAGCGAATTCTATAGGTAGAACCAGTACAAAAGATGTATTTTTATCTCTTTCTTATGCAAGCTAGTAGAAAAATACACGAATACACTCAGTGCGCACTATACCTTTCAATAGAATTCGCTATAAATGGTATGCGGGCAGTGCGGACACTGTACAAACCAGAAAACAAGTCTGAAGAGAAACAAGAATGTGATCCAGCGTCAGCCTTTAGATTGCAGTCACGTTCCAGCAGTACTTGGCAACGTGGCAGAACTCTGACTGTTCTATAATAGTTTTTTCACACTTCCAAGTCAGATTTGCTGACTCTCTTTCCGAGCCACACTCAGTGCTAAGCGGAGTGTCACAAAGCTCAGTGCTTGCACCACTGCTTTTTGTGTTGTACACGCTGGGGCTGGATCTACTAGACCTTATAAAACTCTCGTGCGCTAGTTATGCTGATGACATAAAGATCTACAGTCCTGCTTCTGACACAGCCGCTCTCTAAGAAGACCTTAACCGGATTTATAAGTGGAGTGAGGACTGGCAACTTCTCCTAAATGTGGGTAAGTGTGTCGTATCGCACTTTGATGGAGAGAACAACCTACAAACAGACTACTCCATCAATGGCATTGTGTTGTCCAGTGTTTAGCAGTATAACGATTTTAGCATTCTGGTATCTAATGAACTTTCCTGATCTTCCCATATCACGGACATTTGCAATCGAGCAAACAACAAATTATTTCTGTTGAAAAAGGTATTCCCCAACATACCCCAAGAAGAATTTAACAAACTGTTCATTGTCTACTGCAGGCCAATACTTGAATATACAGGTTAGGTGTGGAGCCCTAATCTGATAAGAGATAAGAACAACCTGGAAGCTGTGCAGAGAAAAGCCACGCGGTTGCAACTTGGCAGGAGAAGACCATCCTATCAAGAAATGCTAACACAACAAGTACTAATTAGTGTTTTCGATAGAAGAACCAGAGGAGATCTCATTTTTACCTGTCGACGACTTCAAAACCAAATAACCTCTATTGAGCATATTTAAACCCTCAATACCGACCAACGTTTGAGAGGTCACAACCTAAAACTTAAAAAGGAAAACTATAGCGCTGTGTGTCGGAATGATGATAATGATGATACCCTAGATATAAAATTAAATTACAAATTCGGCAATGCCAAAGTTCTTGAAGAATATCAGCAAAATGGAACTGGAAATGTTCACCTCGAATAATCCAAGCTTCACCTTATGAATTATGTACCGTACCAGGTAAGCAGAGGTATCCTCAGCCTCTGGATAATCAATGACTTTTTGGTCTTCGGAACACTCAAATCCTAAACAGACTATTTTGTCACGCGTTTCTATCTAATTAGCTAAAGCACCAATTATAGGTAGATAGGTACTTTTTCTGGATCTGGATCTGGATTTGGATTTGGTGGAGTATTAAAATAAAAACTGTTGAAATATCAAAAAGACTTTATGAAGTTAAGTGCATCTTAAATTAAATTCATAATCCCTACCCCAGACTCTACCGTGACTAATCTAAATCTCATAACTCACACTTCGCGCTATAAACTTGCATATAGAGCTAGTTACAATGGGATTTCGAGTTTAAATATGTAAAGTCTTGAGCCAATGTATGTGTTTGCCAAGTCTGGGATGCCTTTTATCTTATTCGATTATTTGCATAGTTAAACTATGAAGATGCTGACGATTTGGCAACCAAAACATTTTGTTCATTATAATTTAACTGAATTGCGGTAAAGTGTAACTTTAAAGCTGAAGGGCATTTGCAATATTCATTTTAAAAGGCAATATAAATTCAATATACCACTGTCCGATATATTTATTATTCATTTTAAATTATTTTAAAAATATATGAAAGGACTTTCTAGCTCGGAACCTATTTTATTGAATCAATCAATGATGCAATCCTAAATTGCTTTGACAATAATAAATGAAATAAATTTGAAGTTATGAAATTTTATTTTTTTATCTCATAATATTCATGCGATTTAACTAAACTTTTAATTTATTCAATGTCCTGACAGTGACAACAACATATGGAATTAGTTTTGTTTCAATCGAATCCAATTAAATGTGGCATGTGTTTAATTTATTTAATACTATTATTTTGATAATCAATTTTTTTTCAGATTGCTTTAAATAGAATAATTAAGCATTTGAAGATTATTATTATTCTTGGGAGGTCTGATCTCACAGAAATCACATATGTAAATAGCAAAAAAAAATTGGAAGTAGACGATTTCCGCCAAACAAAAACACCATGACTGGTTCGCGATTTCTGTGGAATTAGACCTACATTGAAGTTATTCGAGCACCGGCGTATACAAGGGGGGGGGGGGGTAA